TGGAGATTGGAAAAGGTCTTGCTTCTTTTTCCTTGGGTTTACATGATATTACAGATTTGTTGGTTGTAGTTATCTTGACGTTTTCAGTTAACATGGATATAGATTTGCCCCACACGATCTACAGTGGACACGGCCAGGTCTGGGAGGTCACAAACCGTGCCTTCGGTGTTGAAGTTTATAAGCAGTAAATCGATGTTTTACACGCCTGCGCATCCATTTCAGTAATTTCTAGTCACAGAGCCTTGTTAGTTTACACATATATTACAGATTCTAGTATATTTTTTAACGTTCTCCTTGTTAGTTGTTTGCCGTTCCTCCTACTATAAAACATAGAATGATATGCACTACTGTTGATGAAGTTCACTGGAAAAGTGCAAAGAGAAGAATGTTGAATATATGAATTTTTGTGCAAAATAATGATTAACAGGAGTCTAATATCTTCTTGTTTTACTATTTTAGGATGTTAAGTGTTTATTTCTTTTGGACGAACATGCATAGTTTGGAAAACATGGGAAGATACCTGCGTGGAAGCTATGAAACCCTTCGACCCACCTTTAATAAAAAATATAGGTATCTTTCCATTTTTGATTTGATGTGGTGGATGTGAAAGAGTTCTCTTACAAAGCAACGCATTTTTTAGATTATCGAGGAAGAAAACTATTCTGTACTATTTTGTATTGGATGAGTGTCTAAAAACGTTACTCGCTGATCCTGTTGCTGAAGTACGATGCCTTGAAGGTGACTTCAGATGATTTTTTTTTCCATGAAAACGACAACACAGCAAGATGGGGTGTTGTGGGCTGAAGACAGTTCGGTCGTGGTTTTAAGTATTTTTCTGGAAGAAAACGCAATATCTGTACATCATATGATTCTGAAATTGTGGTCTCTCCTATGAACGTACGGGTGGGTGCACATATGGTGAATCTGGATGAGAATTCTGATGTTAGAAGCATCGTCTTTGATATTGATAGCTTGAGGTTAGTCAAGCAATTGGATGGGGTGCGAGAGGACGAACATAAGCTTTTGAATGGCCTTCCTGTTTGAAATCGCATTCGCCGTCCTGAACTTAATCTCCTAGATAGCGAACTACAAAAAATTTATGATTTCAGGCAGAAATGCTATTATGATACATCTTTAGATCATGTATTCCGCGAGTCAAATAAAAGTGCAGATTATCTAGCTAAATGTGCTGTTAATCCTGATATTGCTATTAATCATGAGCACGTCCTTAAATTGGGAATGGATGAGGTTAAGAGGTAGTGTTAAACAGGATTGGGACTTGTTTGCTCACCAAGGGTTGGGCAGCCGAAGACTCCGATTGGGTCCTAGTGTTTATTAGAAAGTGACATTGGTACGAGTGAAATGGTTTAGCAGTTTGATTAGAGGAGGTATCAGGTATACTAGTAATGTAGTTTGAGTGTGTGCTTTCTTGTTGAGTTTGTGTTTTTAATTGTTTTTCTGATGAAAAACAAACTACATCAGAAAAACAATTAAAAACACAAACTCAACAAGAAAGCACACACTCAAACTACATTACTAGTATACCTGATACCTCCTCTAATCAAACTGCTAAAACATTTCACTCGTACCAATGTCACTTTCTAATAAACACTAGGACCCAATCGGAGTCTTCGGCTGCCCAACCCTTGGTGAGCAAACAAGTCCCAATCCTGTTTAACACTACCTCTTAACCTCATCCATTCCCAATTTAAGGACGTGCTCATGATTAATAGCAATATCAGGATTAACAGCACATTTAGCTAGATAATCTGCACTTTTATTTGACTCGCGGAATACATGATCTAAAGATGTATCATAATAGCATTTCTGCCTGAAATCATAAATTTTTTGTAGTTCGCTATCTAGGAGATTAAGTTCAGGACGGCGAATGCGATTTCAAACAGGAAGGCCATTCAAAAGCTTATGTTCGTCCTCTCGCACCCCATCCAATTGCTTGACTAACCTCAAGCTATCAATATCAAAGACGATGCTTCTAACATCAGAATTCTCATCCAGATTCACCATATGTGCACCCACCCGTACGTTCATAGGAGAGACCACAATTTCATAATCATATGATGTACAGATATTGCGTTTTCTTCCAGAAAAATACTTAAAACCACGACCGAACTGTCTTCAGCCCACAACACCCCATCTTGCTGTGTTGTCGTTTTCATGGAAAAAAAAATCATCTGAAGTCACCTTCAAGGCATCGTACTTCAGCAACAGGATCAGCGAGTAACATTTTTAGACACTCATCCAATACAAAATAGTACAGAATAGTTTTCTTCCTCGATAATCTAAAAAATGCGTTGCTTTGTAAGAGAACTCTTTCACATCCACCACATCAAATCAAAAATGGAAAGATACCTATATTTTTTATTAAAGGTGGGTCGAAGGGTTTCATAGCTTCCACGCAGGTATCTTCCCATGTTTTCCAAACTATGCATGTTCGTCCAAAAGAAATAAACACTTAACATCCTAAAATAGTAAAACAAGAAGATATTAGACTCCTGTTAATCATTATTTTGCACAAAAATTCATATATTCAACATTCTTCTCTTTGCACTTTTCCAGTGAACTTCATCAACAGTAATGCATATCATTCTATGTTTTATAGTAGGAGGAACGGCAAACAACTAACAAGGAGAACGTTAAAAAATATACTAGAATCTGTAATATATGTGTGTAAACTAACAAGGCTCTGTGACTAGAAATTACTGAAATGGATGCGCAGGCGTGTAAAACATCGATTTACTGCTTATAAACTTCAACACCGAAGGCACGGTTTGTGACCTCCAGACCTGGCCGTGTCCATTGTAGATCGTGTGGGGCAAATCTATATCCATGTTAACTGAAAACGTCAAGATAACTACAACCAACAAATCTGTAATATCATGTAAACCCAAGGAAAAAGAAGCAAGACCTTTTCCAATCTCCAGGCAAAGTCTTCTGCAGCCTAGAGAAATAGCAGAAACAACTTTCCATCCTGAAAGAAATACAATGGGCTTGAAGATCATATCTTACCTTATACAAGAACCTCACCACTTAAAAAAAAATAGTTAAAAGAAGACCAGCAAAACTACGATGCAATTCAGATAGTAAAATTATACTAAATAAAACAAAATTACCTAAAGACATAGTAAAATTATACTAAATAAAACAAAATTACCTAAACACATTGCAACTAAACAATGGTCATTAGTTGTTAACTCGGATATAATCTGCAAAACATGTCTCGCTGCAGCTTGGTCAGCAAATGGAACCCTGATATGTAAATGAGATTAAAATCCAAACACTGTTAATAAATTGAGAGAGAGAGACCAAATGAGGATTAAAAGCATCAAGATATACAAAACAAGAAAATTATATAAATGGTTTACTGAACTTTAAGTTGGGTATGGTTGATCTTGTAACCCTAAGCTCCACAAACGTAGTTTAACATTTCAAAATGTAGCACATTGGAGCAACCTTACGTTTGAGCCAAGGGCTCCCTATGTTCATCCCACCTCATTTTAAAGCGGCATTTTAAAGCATTTAAAACCTAAGTTTGTTTCATTAACTACAAACAGAAGAATAATCAAATACAGCAAAAACGCAGTTTACTAACCCCAGTAGAGCACGATGGAGAAACGCTGGATTTTCTAAATCCAGAAGTCCTCTGCAAGTGCTACTTGGAGCACCATAATGATATTTATGCCCAAACTGAAACCAGTAAAATAGTTGAGAAATAAAAAATATAAGTTAAAAAACTTGAAATAATTCTGATTCTGAAGAAGCAGATAGGGAATTTCATTGAAAATGCATAAAACTCAAACAGTATAATACCTGCTTCTCACAACAACCTCAAATTCCATCTCAGATTCTTGTTTAAGTTTATCATTCTTAATATAAAGAAATAAAAGCTATACCAGATCTAATCTGATCAGTGTTCAAATTATACCTGTACGAATTGAATTCCATCGATCTTCTTGTGCGTAAAAACATAAATGGGACTATGACCAGAGAATGCGGATGTACGAGTATAGTTTTTCCCTAAAATACGGCTCAAACCTAAAACCCTAATCATTTTCGTAAACGAAGGAACGAAAAATGCAAAAATTAAAATAGTTTAGGGAGTTTTCTTTTAAAATAAAAGTTCAATGGTTTTTTTGGGAGAAAGAGTAAAGATCAGGGGGAGTTTTTTGCACTTTATCCTAAGAATAATAATAATAAAATAAAAAACTTAAAATGAAATTTTCTACTAATAAGAGATAATGACCTTTTCATTAAACCCATACACAAAGAACAACTCATCATGCGAATCAAATATGAGAAATCAGAATTCCAAACTCATGTATAAAAATGGGGAAGACAACATACCTGATGTGTGAGAGAAACAAGATAGAGTAGATCTGATGGTGAGAGAAACAAGAAAAGAAGAGAGACAAAAGATAGAGTAGATCTGATGTGTGTTT